GGTGAACTCCCACAGGCACAGGACGGCGATCTGCGGGAAGCCGATGAGGTTGAGGCGGAATAGGACGCCCTTGAGGGTAGTCTTCCAGTCGCGACGGAACTCGACGAAGCGGTCCTTCTTGGACCATCCCTGCTTCACCGCGATCTCGGTACCGTATCGGAACGCGGCGATAATGAGGACGGTAAAGATGATGAAGAAACAGTACACGATGAGGCCGGTGAGGAACAGGTTCGTCGATTCGATCTTTGCCTTGAAAGCCACGCGCTGGATGCCGTAGACGACGTAGGAGCCGTTGTCCTGGAGGATGTTCGCACGCTTCGCGATGGCGTTGATGCCGCGCTTGACGGGACCGATGCTGTTGACTATGTCGAGCGAGCGCTTCGAGACCTGCACCGAGATACCGCTCAACGAATCGAATAGTCGTGCCGCCTCACCGCCCGTTGAGCGCTGGTACCACGTACAGAGGGTCTGCATCCAGCCCAACCTGACGACACCCATTGACCACTGGAAGTTCTGCGTCCACGCCTGTACGATGGGCGGCATATCGACGCCAGAAAGACCGACAAAGGCCTGAGCCTGGAAGTATCCGAATAGAGAGAGGGCGTTCGCGGCGAGATGGGCGGCGGCATCGGTATGGCCCATGGCGGAGATGATGCCGGCGGACCCGAGACCGAGGCCGGCGATGACGGCGGTGGCCCATTTGACGCCCACGAGATCGACGGTTTTACCGTTGGAGAAGTCTGCCTCGACGCAGGCGACGGTCGTGTTCGTCTCGGTGAGGTTGACGATGGCGCGGATGGTGGCGTCGAGGTCGGGGATGGTGTAGGCGATACCGGGCACCTGGTCGAGCTTGTCGCCGATTTCAAACGAGAACTCCATGTCGATCTTGCCGGGCTTCATCGGGCAGAGGCCCTGGAGGTCCATGGTACACGGGTCTATCGTCATCTTCAGGTAGTCGTAGCCGTAGATGCGCAGCGCGACGTCGAAGACAGCCTTGCCTTCCACCGAGACGACGGCGGCAATGTTTGCCATGACGGAGCCATTGTTGGCGGAGACGACGACGTTGAACAAGCTGGCGGAGAAGTCGGATTTCTTTTGGCAGTTGTTGAGAGACGAGGACTGGAGGATGCGGTCGGCGTATGCGGAGGAGGGGAGGAGGGCGGCGAGGAGGGTGTATACGAGAAAAGGAGCGACTTGGGTGAGCTTCATGATTATTGCTTTATGTTTAGTTGTAACGAATGTGTGGTGTTTGTAATGTTATTGCCCTTCAAAGGTGTCTGGTCGCAGGCATCGTCAGCTTGCGATTGGGAGCACTCTACGATGGCGACGTTTGGAGCTTCAAGCTTTCTTTCTTCCTCGCGTGTCCCCTCGGTATGTGCGTGTGCGAGAGTGTGTCCCTACTCACGATAGTTGGACGCGGTGCAGAATCATCCGATGAGCTCGAAAGGGTCCAATTAAGGTTCCACGGTTGTCCCCTGAAAGAGTGGAAGGGGGCAACTGGGCAAGGTGGGGAGGGGGGAAGAAGAGGCGAAGCGAGTGAGAGGATTCTTCCCCTTCAACGTCGAATAGCTCCTCGTTGTCTATACTGGAACTTCGACGTCAAATTGTTTAAAGGAAAGACAGAAAACAGCGTTGCATGATCGAAAGAGACTCGGACGGGGGGGACAGGGCACACGGTCGCTCTTCTACGGATAGATTAGACGAGAGAGAGACCCGATAGATTGGCGACGAGAGTCAGAGAGGTACGAAAAAAAGGGTGGTTTGTTGCCAAGCTTCAATTTCCCGTTCGGTTTGTGCACATCCTCGATCCGTCAGTGACATTGCCGCTCCCTTATTCGTGTCCCCCTCGTTGCACTTTGTACATAATCGGCATAGCTGGGGAGGCGAAGCAAGCTTGGTTGTGGGCCTGAACAGTTCAAGCCAAGCTCGAGCTTTTGCTCGTACGGAAACAATCGACAGACCCGAGAATCTGTAGCGGCAGCAGAATGTCTTTCCCTAGGGTTCTGGTCCATGTTCCAGCGCCTCCAACGACTCTTTCAACGGCGGCTGGAATAGGAGTCAGTCAGAATCCAGGGGCTATCTACAGCCTAAAAGTTAGCACCGCACCTAGAGGAGAACTCAGAAGCGGCGAGACTGCAAAATCACTGGCCAGTGATAGCTTGGCGGCTCTTCCACCTGAAGATGATGTGAGATGGGAATGCCCACGGCGATCACGCATCCAATCCCATCACATTCCAGCCGCCGTACCTGCGTATGGGATACGGGGCTCATGGGCCGCCATGGCACCAAGAACGGCCCAAGCCGGCCGTTCCTGACCAGCCAATGCCGGTACCTCTCTCCCCCCCTTGTCAAGCTGAGGAGGGATGGCACTCTGGGAGAGGGGAACAAACCGTGAGTCCGTGACAACTCTGGCAGCCCTGACAGCTTTCGCAGCTCTTTGGCAGCTTTAGCATCGTTGGTCCGCGCCGGCCGCGCTCCAATGAAGGGTCGTTTTCGTTTCCTTGCACTGCCCCCAAAGTTGATATTCGGTTGCCTAAAGACTGGCATGACAGCCCAGGACTAGGTGACTGGTCCACTCTCTGTCTTTCGTCTTTTTTGTGCGACGAAACTGCGGCCCAGAGGCGGAAGACCCTCCTTTGAAACGAGACGAGACCCAATTGAACCCACTGCGAGCGCCCGGCTTGGACAAATCAGTCTTGGGTTGGGCGGCACGCACGGCGGCTATACGAGTATTCTCAATGCCTCCTCTGCCCTATTATCCCCCTTTTATGTTCTCACAGATACAGCATACTCTAGCCTCTCAAAGACATACATAGAAATCTCAAGGGGTCTGAATCGGGGCAGAATGTGCGGCCCCGCTCTCAAGCATAACTCTATGCATAGCTCAGGGGTAGCGGTAGCCCCGTGAAAAAAAGCAGAATGCACGGCTGCTATCTGCACAGTAATCACCATCTAGCGATTCAATACTACCACCATACGGCAATGTCGAGCCGAGATTGGCTCCGGTCTTTTCCCAACCCGACGAACAGGGCCCATACGAGCAGGGCCGGGTTGTGGGCAATGAATGCCACGGCGGCAGTCTCTAGAGCCTGGCCCATATACCGGTCACTGTTAGTGCAGAATAGCGTGGCCAACAGACCAACACTAATGCTGTGATGTTGGTCGAGAATCTTATTGAGTCTCAATTGATTCGGAACTCCATTCTGTAGGTGCTGAGAAGAGAGGTAATCATTTCGCAATTGCATTGTTCTTTCCTACACATAAACTATACTACATACAGTACATAACATCACATCCGTACAATTGGGAGATGCATCTTACATAAACCCACGCAGTCTCTCAAACCCGCTTAGGCCGGGAACCGAAACTCGGTGATGGGTACAGCTTTGGAGTCGCAGACGCGACGAGACTGCGATACTCGTACTGAGAATGAGATTACAACATGAGAACCGCTGAATCTCCCATGATGCAATCTCACGCAAGGGGTTGAGGCTGTGAAGCTCACAGCCCCAATACAAGAGAAGTTGTCTGGAGTGAGTAGAGTGCCACGAGAATTGGCAGCTTGGCAACACTTTGACAACGCCATATTGTGACTTTGTAGGCCACCTTTCAACGACTGGAATTTTGCCGCAACGGGCGACTCTTGCTTCTTTCTCACTCATCTCATCATGGCCGATCGTGAGAAATGGCTATTACACGTACTGGGAATGAAACAAAACAGCCGAATCTTCATAGACCCGCAGCTTCTGCATCGCCTAGGACAGCATGTAGTCAAGAGCTATCCTGTATGTGCATGGTCTTCGAGTTAGGGTCGCATGAAGAGCGGCATAGAGCCTCTCAAGACCGATATTCCGAAAATAAGTGACAAGAATCTCGAGCAGTACGTACGGTGTAAAACGAGACATCTCACATTGCTCACCCAACCTTCGTCACTTGCTGTTGAGATCTCTCAAATCCAGGTCCAAATACCAGGGGTAGTTGATCGCCAAGAATGGGGTAGTCGTCAGCTCTCAAGATTGTCACCCAGCGGATACCACTGCGCCATGCCCCGGGAAACTCACAGCATCCGACTCCATCAGCATCTCAGGGCTGGACTTCAGCCTGGCGAGAGAATTGAGGAATCTTAAAGTCTGGATCTACTTCGATATTGGTCACTCCATCATGGAAAACACGGCATGCGCAAGAGCCACAGAAACCCGCCGCCGTCTCCAATTGTTTCGTCGATCAAGTTCGAATCTCCCCCGTGGGTCAAATTAGACAGGAAATCTCTCGATCGACCTGTAACCAAGATTACGAGGCTGTGCTGGATGTCTCAGCTACGATCCACGCGGCAGCGACCATCTCACAGGTCTCCCGAAGGTAGACGCAATAATAGTGCAGAATGCCAATAGATGACAGCCAGGATCAAGTTCCTCTGGTATAGCGGCTTGCCAGCTCCTCATGTCGGCGTCGATCTCAACATCGTCGTTCACTCAGAATGGGCCCTCAACTCCCCTCATTGTCGCCCTATTTCACAGTGGTTGCATCGCCATGGGCCCTCGTCAATTGAAAACAGCCAGACTTATAGTGAAGCCGCGTGTAAAGGCAAAAAGCTCCGTAAGCTCCGTGTCGCCGTGTCAGCCAGCAGTATCTTTAGCAAAGCGCCGATACCATGCACGCTTCCGATTCGGGCTACCCATGGCCCGTTGATTGGGCTAAATCGGGGGCCGACATCGCCGCTCTGCGCAAACTCACCGTCGCCATATGCCGAAAACCTGAAGACTAATCATTTGAAGTGGGGGAACTTGTCCCCCCACGACCACTGCCGCCTCTATCATCCATAGCAAGTCATTAGACATCACCATAGGATAATTTCACAAGACAAACACAGCCTTGTCCAAGCTCCGCACAGCTACTCATACAATCTGGAGACGATCAGGCATAGGCCTTTCCCTCTGCTGCGCTCCCATCATCCAACGCCACACTCTCTAGAGACAACAGGTTCCTCATCCAGAGCCACAATGACCCTGGGCCCTCAATGCTGGCGCTGCCGCAAAAAGCGCCTCCGATGCGACTCCTCCGTCCCCGCCTGCCGTAAATGCATCATCGCACGCACAGAATGTCCAGGCTACGGCGACAAGCGACCCATCGCCTTCCGAGACCCGCTCGTCCTGACGCAAAAGGGCGTCGTTATCCGGGTCCGGGATCGGGAGCCGGACGCGAAGGGCCAAAGCCGCGACAGTGACAGTGACCGTAGCCGAGGAAAGACACGGAGTAGCAGCAGCGCCAGCCCACCGGCGTCGGTGCTTGGCATCGTGTGCCGATCGCCGAGAACGGCCGGAACCGTGATGGAGTTGAGGATAGCGGCTGATGCCATGGAATATTGTGGGTAACAGCTTCCCCGTGTGGTTTACGTTCACACAAATTGTGAACCTCACTTTCACTCACTCCGAAAACCTCACTCACTCATACATTACCACTCACTCACTCATTCCTGTTTTCAGTGCTTCAATCTCACTCCCACATCTTCATTCTCAACTTCATTGCTCAATCAATCAACCAACTAATTACTTATTCACAGATAATCACCACGTAGCACCCGACCTAGTCCCCTACTCAACCTCAACGTCACCATATCAAATCTCCCCCCACCAAATAGCCTCACTCGCCTCCTACCTCCGCAACACATATATCTCTATCGCAGCCCTCCACAGATACATCATCGGACAGCCGTCGTCGTCGTCGTCATCATCATCATCATTGACTTCAACTTCATCATCAAGTATCCTATTCAAACTCTCAACCGACAATAAGACCCTCGCCACCTCCACATCCCGCCCTCCTATCAGGCAACATGCACCCCGGCCAGGCGATACATCCGAACTATCAAGGCTCATGGCAGCAGGCGACTTCAAAAGCGTCCACTTCGCATCCCAAGCAGCCGCCCTGCAAGCCTTAGGCCAAGAACTCTGCGCATATCACCAGCCTCGAGGGAACAGCTCACCAAACACCGCCGAAGATCCAGGGCCCAGCATCCTCCTCGGCATCATGGTGATGCTCACATCTCAGGTACACTCTATCTCTCTCTCATCCTCATCCTCTCACCATTCACCCAACATATAACAAAAGACTGACATCCCCCCAAGATCCAATTCTCCGCCTACGCCCCGTGGCAATCCCACATCACCGGCGCATGGAGCATAATCCTCACCCACGGCCCCTTCGCCGCCGTCGCCAACTCAGACCCAGAACTCTGCCGCCTCCTCCAGCAATTCGCAATCTTTGACATCTTCGGCACATCCACCCACGGAGCCATCAACGCCACCGCCCACTCATCGTCCGTCGCAGGCACGATCCTCGCAAGACAAGAATCCTACGAAGCAATCTTCCAAGACTCTGAAACCGACGCCGGCAATCCGTGGAGGCTGGTCCCCAACGACCTGGCCAAGATCCTGATCCGCATCAACGGGCTACGGGCACGGAGGGCACTATACCCAGAGACGGCGAAGCATCTCCCAGAAGGTCTATCTGCTGTGCTAGAGTATCTCGACACCTCACCGCCCGAGAACTGGGCCGCAGAGATCTCGGCGACTGCACAGGTCTCGCTGGCACCAACCAGACTGAGCGAGGACCAGGAAACAAAAGACGCCTGGGTCGCACTGATGACGACGTATCACAGCGCCGCGGCCTTATACGCCATCAGCAGCCTCGCCGGTCTCGGAACCGTACCAAGATCAAGCACCCTCTGGCCAGAAGAAGCCTCATCCCATCTCGCAAGAAGAGAATCAGCAGCATATAGCACACTAATCGCAGGCCTCCGCGTCCTCTTCACCCAAAGAACCCAGCGGCAACCCTCGCAGTTCCAAAACACATCACCAAATTCCATCGCAACCAGCGCGGGGCTGTTACACAAATTCGTCATCTGGCCAATGGTCATCGGTGGAATTCAGTCCACCCTCATCTACAACGATCAAGAAATCACAACCTTCATGTGCTCGGGTATGCAAGCGGTCGGTGAAGAGCTGGGCACGGTAAGCATGATAGACGGTGCTCGCCTCGTCGAGAAGCTACAGCGGGAAGCAAAGCACGGTCGCAAGTTTTCGTCATGGGACGAGCTGTTTGAGGGGACACCCTTGTTCTTGATGTGATTATACTTCGTACCATCTTCCTCAAGAAAAAACCCAAGGGTCACCCCAAGAATCGAATCGCGGGATCCGGTCGGGAGCTTGGGGACCATCCACTGATCCACCCCGCAAAAAGGGAATTTGGGATTTCAGGGTCTTGCCCAACCCTTCCGAGCAATACCGGGTCAGACAGCCAAGCGTCGCCGATGTGTCCGGGGCGATCGTCCGAATTCTCTGCATGCCTTTGAGTTGCAGCCGTTCGAGCCGCGGCCGATCACTGCCGGTACCACCAGGAATCTGAGACACGGAACGGCATCCAGCGTTTGCAATCTCTCACCAAATTCCTGCGTTCATCAAACATGGCCTTCTGATTTAGCAATCCGCGAACATCACAAAATAGGGGCACTGAGACAAGAGTGTTTGAAGTAGTCATATAATCCATTGGATATGTACAGGAGAAAAGGTGCGTGCACGACGCCGGTAAGCTGAAGGGTATCTGTCCCGAACAGCAGTCAAGATTACAAGTCGGTGTAGTGTGTCCAGACAAGCAAGGACCAGCGCCGGTGCGATTCTCACACAGCGTCTGGTCATGTTGGGGGCAACAGGTGCAGATATGCAATTGGCATGTCGGCCAATGCAAACCTCCCAGCAACAAAAAAAAAAAAGAACCAGAGCAGGCCCCCCAATGCTCGTGCAAGTGCGCCGCTAAGAGACGTGACGGAAGATGGTCGTAAAGTGCAATATGCCATTTGCTTTTGAGCAAAACCTCGTCGTCGTCGAACCTCGAAGACTCGCCCCGAGGGGAATCATGTTGCCGTCGTGAGATTGCCGCCCTGATCTATGTATCGTTCGTTCCGGAACTGTTTTTTCTTTGCTTTTCTTCTTTGATCGATTCAAGTAGCGTAAGCCAGACGCTTCTACCGCTGGATCTCGCTGACGCTGACGCGGCTTGATCTCCAGTCATTCGTGGGAGTCTGCTTTGAGGATCCGAAGCCGGGCATGGAGGCGAAGCGGCTTAGCCGCTTCTTGCTGGGTTCGGTCTGCGTCGGGGCGACAGTGGGCGAAGCAGGCTCGGCGTGGTGCAGGGCATTCACTCGTGGGGATGAGGACTCCTTGCTGCTAGTCGTGCCGGCGGATGAGGAGCCGGTGGAGGTGGGAGTCTGGTAGACGTACTCGCCGTCGACGTAAACTGCGTTGGAGACGAAAGTCGAGCGGCGATGGCGGCGACGAGTGTAGCGCTGCTCCAGACGGAAGAGCTCAATCTTCTGCTGGATACGTTCAAGGATACCGGGAGCCATTGTGACGGTTATTCGAGCGAAGACGTTCGGTAGAGGTTTGGAAAGCTTATTGTGTTGAGGTTGCTGGAGAGATTGATCTTGCTCAAAGTTGATGGCGGGACGAGGCAAACTCAATTGACTCGACTTGGGATGAGATGGTTGTGCAAGTACAGATGACGGGTTGTAATGTATTACGGGAGGACAATGTCTGTGAACGGTGGCAGACGCACGTCGTAATGTAGGGGCGCAACAGATCAGACGAAAAGCTTATCGGTCGCGGTAGGAATGGATGGAATGGAGGTCGCAATCTAGTGACACAGATGTCTCTGATGGCTCGGATGTGTTGTAATCCCCCCTTTCTGCCGGCTGGCGTTTGCGGTAAGATGTCTGTCGTATTTGGAGGACTGCTTGGCAGCAAGTGTCTGATTGTGGTGCCGTGATCGGGTGCTTTGGCTGTTGGATTTGTTCTTTTTTCTTTTTTTCTAATTCAGCGCTCTGTGGCTGATAGTAGCTTGGTGTCTGTGACCTCTGTTGGGAGTCGGTGCGGGAGCGAGGGAAGGAGAGGTAGTCAAAACGCCGGGCTTCGAGACCTCTGGTGTAGTTTTGGTGTATTAAGGTAAGTTGAGTTGGAACGAGTGGACTGGGTGGGAGTGTGTGTGTGTGCGAGTGAGAGAGATGTTGTATCCGGTCTGGAGTGGTTGGGATGGATAGAAAAAGATTGGAAGAATGGCGGCGGCGGCGGCTTGGCCCAAGGTGGTAAAGTGAGTTGAAGGAGAGGTAGGTACCTTTAGGTCGGGCCGGAGGGTGAGGTGTGGTCGGGTGTGAGGTGCGTGAGGTGTGTGCCGTGTGGTGTGGTGGTGGTGGTGGTGGTGGAAAGGGAAGAGAATGACAAGGTGCAAGGGAAAGGATTGGATGGCCGCGAAGGGAACTGCCAGACTGAAAGGGAAGGGGGGGATACTGAGGTACTTCGTGAGGTACTTCAAAAGGAGGGGAAAGAACGACTCGTGCAGGGAAAGAGTCGTCTACGAATCACAGATTCAGCAGATGGGAAAAGGTAGGTCCAGATACGGTTGCAGCTGCAGGAAGAGAACCTTGATAATGTTGTTACGGGTTGTTGGAAGGCACGGAAGACGAGAGGGAAAGAAGGAGAGGAGACGGGGTGTGGTGTGTGTCAACTTGCAGTGGGAAGGAGCAGGCGCAGGAAGCTGCAGGTGGCAGGTGTAGCAAGAGCCAAGAGGAGGAGTTCTTTCCTCTGGAGCGATGGGGACTGGAGGGAGTGGGGCACGGCGCTCGGGCTTCTGGAACTTGCCTTGGAGTCTTGGACGGTACGAACACAGACGGGGTGGATTCCGTGGGAGGGAGTTTTGTCCTGAAGCACTGGGCTGGGCACTTTGGACCAATCCAAGAAAGTTTGCACAATTGACAATTGGAGCCGCAGGTGCAGCACTGGGTGGTATGGTGCACTGCAGACAGGTGCAGGTCTGGGATATGCATATCGAATGTCACACTCAGCGTCGCGCCTGGATGCATCCAACGCTCGCTCCCAAGCTTCTCAAGAACTCTTTCAGCCACTGAGAAGCGCTGGAAAGATGGGAAAAGATGGAAAAGAGACGGGTCCTCCGATAGACTGGTTCATGCCTCGTTTCTTCGATGCCAGTTCCTGCCCATCGTTTCCTCTTCCATCAATAGCGTGGGATTGGTACCCACACCTCCTGGGTCCACCTCATCTCTACATGGATCCACTCTCCACGCAATCGCAGCCAACGATGTGGCGCCAGCCGGGACACCTTCCCTGTCCCGCCATGTGCTCTCCTGCCCTTTCCCACTTGCTCTTTCCCAAGCTTCATGGCTCCCCGGACGTTGCTTCTCGTTCTTGGTGTCTGCTCCGAGTTTCGTTCCTCTTCCGGTGGAGTTTTCTTGCACTTGCGGCCATTGTTCCCAGCTTTCCCAACTTTGGCTCGCGCAACTTTCACTTTGTTGGTTTCTTCAGCTCCGCCGTCGTTTCTTTGTCGTGATTTTTCTCGCCGTTTGCCTCGTGTTGACCAGGCCGTTTCAATCCGTCTGTATGTCACGTTTCCTTCTTCCTCTCGGCCACAACCGTCAGCCTCCCACGACCGGTCCTTTACTAAGGACACGAACCACGCGTTGACGGTGGAGGCTTAGACAATTAACTCCCGGGTCTCCGTCTGCTTTCTTTTGGATGGTTCGTCCGTCTCGGCCCGTTGTCGAATAATCCACCGCTCGACGGAAACCTCCAGAGTCGAGATTCGAGACGGGCCTTCGAAGCTCGACCTCACCACTTGAACGCTGCTCCCAAACGGTGACCCGCTGTGTCGATCCGGCCTGGAATGCTCCACGATGCCGTTAGTGATGCACCAGATGTTCCGTCCGGGTATTGTGTCCTGCCTCCCGCGCCTTGCTTGCGTGCTCTCTGACTTTAACCAAAATCCAGACTGCACACACCATCTCAGTCTCCCAACCACGTCTCGGGGTCCCAGAAACGACGAATACAGATAAGGCACCGAACCATCACCAACTTGACACCGAAAACCGTCGACCATGATACCATCAACCTCGTGTCTGCCCCTCCCGTCCCTCCCCTTCGCCACCCAGTTCCCCTGAACCTTCGCATTCGGCGTTACATCGCCCCATGAGCAATCGGTGGGACCAACACCCAGGGGTTCGTCCGCTTCGATCCCCGCCCTCCGAGTCAATCATCCCGGCGAAAACCTCGCCCTTTAGCGATATTGCAACTGCGCCGTCGGGTCAACCAGTGTCGTCAGTGCACTGCAACCTATCAGGCTTCAGCAAGCTCCTCTGTCCATCCCAGCTGACCGGATGACGGAATTTGGCGATGACTTCAAGACAGGCCTCATGAGCTACGTCTAATGAACTTCACGTGATTCGAACTTATCTCGGGGATAGTACGCTGACAGTCATAAGTATGGCTTGTTGAAGTGCGAAGCTATGTAGCACCTCCCTCGCCAGCCTAGAGCCGCCTTGCTCGGGATGATATCGCCTCGTACAATTACTCAACCTCCATATCACCGTCATCCGTCTCCATCTCAGCCATTGAAGCCTCGTAAAGATCGTCTTCTAGCTCGGGACAACGCACTCGCAAGCACTCCAGAATATCGACGTACCCCCCAGAACCATCGTTGCCGTTTGCCTCTTGCAAAATATGCTCCAGTGCAGAAAACCCAAAGGGCTCCAAAGGCCGCCGTAACGCCGTGATATCCACACCCGGGCAGCCGATCAAGGCTTCCATCGCCTCCATGTTCCCGTTCGTCACAGCATCAACCAGTGGTGTTGATCCGTCGTTGGCCGTCACGTCAAGTTCAATTGAGGGGAGGTCCAAGACAGCGTTCAATGTTTCTCGGTCACCATGCCGGGCAATAATATGCAATGCCGTCTCACCGTCTTCGTTCTGCACATTGAGCTGATGCTCGGGTGCTCGAGAAAGGAGAAACCGCAATAGACCGTGTCGTTTGCGAGACGCCGCAACATGAAGCGCTGTCTGCCGTACCTGACGATCCACGAGGAAGTCGACGCCGGGGTACATTGCCAAGAATCTAGCTGTAGCATCATCTTCGGCCCGCGCTATCGCGAGATACAAAGCAGTATGCCCAGCTTCTGACGTCTCACGATTCACGTACTCCTCATTCTCCTCCGCTCCGTCAAAATGCGCCTTGAGAATAGCTTCCACCACGTTCACTTGCCCGCGAAGGGCAGCGACGTGCAAGGGCAGCATTCCGTTCCGGTCCCGCGTCTCCTCCGCCGGCCGGATCTCTGGGTGGCAGCGCAACTCCGCGTAGCACGACTCGCATCCCACCGAGGCTGCGAAATGAAAAAGGGAGAACCGTCTCCTGAATATTCGGTGCCACGGTTTGGCGCCTCCCGGCTCGAGAAGCTGATGCACAATGTCCGGCCTGCGGTCCAAGATAGCGGCGTGGACGAGAGTCAGCCCTTGACTGTCCTTGAGGTCCGGTCCGACGTGGTCGGTGAGGAAGGCAAGCTCCTTCAGGGACCAGCTGCTGGATTTGGGAGGGATGAGGGCGAGATCCCTTGCGACTATGGGGTACTTCGCGCCCTCTTTCACCAGAATGTCGTGAGCCCAGATCTTGGCATATGGCTGCGAGTCTGAGTAGAGATCGCCCGGAGCGAAGAGGAGACACCCAACAACCGCATGGGGGACCAACTTCTCCCATTCAGGGCCGAAGCCCTGTTCAACGTAAGACCAGTCGTAGAGATCAAATTTCTTCAAAAGTATCGGAAGCCTCGAAGAAAGTGTGGTGGATAGTGAGACTATCGCTTTCAACGTAATGGTCTCCGACATGCTTGACCTGGACCGAAACATCAGGTCTGAGATCTGTTCGCGTAAGAGTAGTTTATGGGTTTCGACAGGGCCATCAATAATCGGACGCTTCGGCAAATTGCTGTGTAGCTCACTGAGAGTATTCTCAAACAACATCCTCTCCGCGAAACACGTAGTTTTGCCGTGACCGAGTCTCGTCTTGATGGCGATCGATATCCTGTCTTTGAGAAGTGGTAAGGTCTGATGGAGGCCCGAGACGTAGGGCACATCGAGCTGTGCCTGAGTCCCAGGTCCATTGCTTTGGCAGGGAGTCTTTTGGAAATCGAGAATATCTAGCAAGGAGGTTCTCTGGTGATGATGGACTTCGTATACGCTGTTCAGAAGCTGGACTGCGGTAAGTATATCCATACTGTCTCATATGATTAGCCTCTACTCAAGAAAGAAGCTGACATGGGCCTTACAGATCTTCGCAGTTCCAAAAAGTGCTAGAGCCATCATGATCTTGGCCGTGGGATCCCCGGTCGCTCGGGATACTCATCATGCTTCCAGGCTCTTCTTCGCCTGGAGCCCGTCTTCGTGTCCTTTTCTTGACTTCGCCAGGTGAACACTCTAGGCCTTTCGACAAACAGCGATCGCACTTTTGCGGCCATGTTCGAGGTTGAGGCAGGCACTTCGCAGCTCGCTTGTCAGCAATTTTCTGACCGAAGCCATAAGCGCTCTGCCGTACAGGCGGGGCAAGGTAAGCGCTTGGAAGAGGACCGAGATACCTTCAATTTGTGTTGTCTGCAAAGCTGGCACTTTTCACTGTCCAGTTTCCTTGGTGGTTTCTTTCGTTTGTTGGACTCTTCTTGAATGTCGCTCACATCTTGCGACGTTTGCAAGCTGAAGGGCAAAGGCGCAGGAGGTGGTCCAACCGGCGATCCGATGTTGGGAGCCGGGTTGACCGCCATTGAAACTCTAGTGAAGATCGATCTTTGACCGCCCGTCAAGCTAGAAAACAAGTCTGTTCTAGTTGAAGGTCAAGTAGCTTGGGACAACGGACTGGGCTTACACTTATTCACGATGATACTCGTAAGGCTGTCATGCAGACCGGGGTTGGCCATCGCACTTGTAAGTGCGACACACTCCTTCATGCACGCGAGCGGGACAGTAGTGGGGTTGACGAATGGCATTGCCGTCGCACTTTCACCGCACTTATCGCACTTATGTCGCACTCCAAATCGGTCTGGATGCGTATGATCATCGCACTCTGCTCACCCCATCCCATCCATGCTAGATCCGTGTCAGCCTTTTGTGAGGCTCAACTTTGGGCACAAGAATCGAGAGTGCGGGGTTGATGAAGAAACCCGGCAAGGTGATTTGAGGTTTTGCTATCCCTCGCAAGCCAAGTGACTGTATACTATCTACGTAGACAACACGCGTCCGTATCCTGAATTATGGAGATACTATTCCGCCCATACTTCGAATTATGTGACCTATCAAATGGTAAAGTTACTATCAACTTCTCCCATGTAGCTGCGGATCACTAGGTAGACCAATATTCACTACACCTCTCCATCCTCTCGACTGGCTTGGTGCTCCTCAGGAAACGCAGGCTCAGGCCTCGATCCATACGGTATGATTCTCACCATATGCCTCCTCTCCCCCTCCCTGAAATCCGGCACCGCGCTATGCGCAACGCTTCTCTGATCCCACACAACAACCGACCCAGCCTCCCACCTCACCCGACAACTGAAATCCAAACTCTTGACATGATTATGCAGAAACCCCAACAGCGCATCCGACTCCTCGGGCAAAAAACCCTCTACCCGCCTCGCAATCGTCGGATTCACGAACAAACTCGGCTCGCCCGTTACAGGGTGCCGGATCACCAGCGGATGTGTCGTCGATACGGCCTCGCGGAGAGCGCGCTCCGTGCCCACGCGCGCAACTTCACCTACGGAAGCGGAGGTGTGGAATAACCGCAGGCCGCGGAGGGTGGCGCGGTAGGCTGGGGAGAGGGCCGCGTAGGCTGCTGTTAGGGATGTGAAGGCCGTGTCGCCGCCGCCTGAGGCGGGCGTTTCAAGGACCCAGAAGAAGGTCGTTGAGGGGGTGTTTGGGGTGAAGGTTTGGTCTATGTGCCAGAGGTCGTAGGTTGTGCGGGGACCGAGGAGGGTGCGGAGGTTGCCTCTGCGATGAGTGTGAGTGATGAGTACATGTTGCTATATATCTATATGAGATGTGACGCGAGGATAGGGGATCTTACGCTTTCTCGTCTGCGTAGACGACGTGGAATTCTGGACCTGTGCCTTCTGGGTATCCCATCGTGGGGTGCTGGAAAAAAGGGCAAGCAGATCAGCAAATGCGTTCAAGCTATAGGGGGCTTGTCAATCGTACCTTGTGTAGAGGGCCATAGTGCCTCACGATCTCCTTTTGCCTCTCAAACCCAATGTCTGCAAAGTCTTGATCTCTCTAGAGAGACTGGTGTTATTATCCATTCACCTGGCGATGGCGTGACCATCATCACTCTCTATCCGCGATGGAAGACCTACAAAAACCAAAACACCCCTCTCGGCCGCTAGCAGCGCGACCTCATCCAGACCGGCCTTGGAGAGCTGGCTAAGCTGGACACCCCGGACTTCGGCGCCGACGCGGGGTGTGATGTTCTCCACTTTGGCGCCGCCGCCGTCCCGGAAGATGGAGGAGGCGGAGGAGGCGGATCGCGCGGCTTTGGCTCGGACACCGGGTTCTTCGGCTTCAAAGTCCGGCACGTCGATTGTCGGCTGGAAGCCGTCGGGCCTGGTGGGGAGGTAGGCTGGGTACAATGGTTCGGTCGACATGGTGGCTGGACTTGAATACGTGCAGCGAATGATAGTGGGAATGGCGAAGCACGCAATCTTTCGCTGTAGAATCTGCCGGTCGCCTGCTGTCGATGTATGTATATAGCCCTTCTCAAATGTCGACGAGACTCAATTAGGTATTATCGCGTCAGGTCCCGTCTCACTCGATCGGCATCATCCCGACAAACGTGCTTGCGGTTTACAATCACCGCGAGGTGCACAGTCGAATCGTAGACGCAGGATAGGCTCTCATCTTACCATTCGGCGGGAGACCGACGCGTCACGGCATAAGCCGGCGAAATGGCGACATTTTACGTTGTATCCCTGCCCGCCGGCGGACGCTTCCCCGGAGCTGGGATAGCCCATGGAACGCTACGACTCGGCAACGAGAAACAGAGTTTTGGCTAACGGTTCGTCTGAATTTCTGCCAAAAAAGCAGCTGATCCGTCCCAAATCTTTTGTTATTTTTCCCGATTCTGTTCCTTCGTTTTCCCCATTTCATCATGAAAGATGGTGATGTTGCCATCTGACCCTTTGCCCCAGTATTATCGAAGGATTTTCTTAAGCGTCGGTGTGTCCCGACGTCTTGTCGGAATCTGTCCGCTCGAGGGAGTAGTTTTGGCATATGGTGATGGCGAATGTCTGAATGATCAAGTTCAAATACGACCCTGAAAGCCAGTGCTTAAACACCCGCATGGCCATCGAAAGCCTGCCCGAGGAAACATTCTGGATCTGAACGTCATCCATCCGAGCTACACCACGAGGCATCACCAACAATGACAAAGACCGAGCCCGAACCGGCCTCGGCGGAAGCCAGCCCAAACCTCACGAAGCCCTCGATCCCATGGCTAGCCAAGATTCACCCCTACTTTGAAGACGCAGAACACGTCCTAGTCCTCAAACTCGACATCCTCCTCCTAACATGGGCCTTCATCGCCGGCCTCATGAAGGACATGGACCAGTCCGCAACAACAGCAGCATACGTCTCAGGCATGCAAGAAGCCCTCTCCCTCTACGGCAACGAACTCGTCGAGTTCACAACCTACTTCTCCATCGGTTACGCCCTCTTCATCGTGCCCTCCCAACTCATCCAAACCCGCGTCCGCCCGTCCCTCTGGCTTCCATTCTGCGAAGTCGTCTGGGGCGCCATCACCCTCGCGACATTTGCCGCCAAGAACGCCCGAACCGTGTTTGTCCTGCGCTTCTTCCTGGGCGTGTTTGAGGCGACGTCGTGGCCGGGTATCGTGAACCTCATCTTCAACTGGTACACCCCCTCCGAACTCGGTAAACGCCTCGCCATCTTTGGCGTGAGCAGCCAGGCGGGGAGCATGTTCCTCGGCATCCTCCAGGCCGCGCTCTACAAGAACCTCAACGGCGCGCACGGTCTCGAGGGTTGGCAGTGGCTCTTTGTTGTCTCGGGTATCATGACCATTGTCTGGGGTCTCTACGGGTTCCTCGTCATCCCCGACGCGCCGACCACAACCCGCGCCCTCTGGCTCACCGCGGACGAACGTGTGCTCGCTGCTTCACGTATGAGGAAGTCAGGGACGACGACACAGGAGGTCATCAAGGGCAAGGCCCTCTGGTCTCGTGTGCGAAAACTCTTTACCTCGCCTATTACGTACCTCTTCCTCGCGGCATACCTGCAGTTCGCTTGGTCTCAACGCGCAAACTCGTATTTCTTGCTCTACCTCAAGGGTCTCAAGGCCGCGGACGGCACGACGGCGCTGTACTCGGTGTACACCGTTAACCTGATCCCGCTCGGCGGCTACGCGATCTCCATCGTGGCGAATATATCTCTCAACGCGCTGAGCGATTGGAAGGACTGGCGGTGGCAGGTTGCCGTCGGCGCGGCGCTGCTTCAGCTCGTGGCTACCTCTGTCCTGGCGGCCTGGCCCGGTGGAAGGGGCACGATTATGACATTCTACTTCTTGACGTATGCGACTGCGGCGTGGGGGTACGCGCTGCTCGCGTGGCTTGCGATCATCTTGCGCAAGGAGCCTGAGGCGAGGTCGGTGATTGTTGGACTTGCGGTGACGCTTGTGTATGTTGGGCATGCTACTATTCCGCTGCGGGCATGGAGGACGGCTGACTCGCCGAGGTACCCTATCGGGTTCCCGCTGGCGGCTGCGTTTAGTGTTGGGAGTATCGCTTCGATCCTCGGGATGTTGTGGTATGTCCGCAAGTATCCCGATATTCTTGACTTTGGTCTCAATTGGAAGTCGTTGAGGGAAGCTGGGGATAGTGTTGCTACGTTGGAGAAGGTGGATGTCCAGAGTGACGATGGGCAGGAAAGCCAGAAGAAGTCTGCCACAGAGGCGACAAAGGCTCTGTGAAGTTACGCAGAAATCTCAACTCATTCTTTTGTTATTTCACATTATTACTCCTACGCTATCTGGTGATGAACTCCCATCCATTGAGAGCCTCTCATCGTGTGTTACGAAACCGCTTCGTGCGTTGTCAGTCGACGGCGGGACTGATTCGACTCCAGCTCCACATCCAGACCAGCCCCCGAAGCTTGAGTGAAGACACCATCTCGCACCACGAAACGTTGAGACTTGGAGGCCTTTGCTAAACGTCCAACATCGCCATCAGTAGCAACCTTCGCGTCGTGAAGCAAGTCTGCCAGCTCGGGGCTTTCGGAGATCTGCGCTACAGTATGCCACGCATTCTCAGGCAAGCTGTATCGCGTAGACCTGAACAGGACCGCAGCCGCAGCAAATGAGGCCAGGAAGACAAGAATTATCCCTACGACGGCTAGATAACCCCTGAATCGCCATGGTATCGAAGTCAGCTCAAACGTGACCACATCCGCAGTGTCCATCCCAGGTACGGCAGTATTGGGAGAAAAGGCGCTGAGAAAGTCATAGTAGACAAGTCGGGCAAGGGTGAAGTAAACAGCCTGCATCGCGCGAGCCGGCGATCCCGTCTCGTCAATGGTATCGCCAAAAAGACGCTCGTAGATCACATCGCTGGTGCCGTCCTGGGAGTCGAGATTGGGAGCGCAATTATGACAGAAGGCGATGGGCATGGAGGGCATTCGGGCGTAGGTGACGCGGTCGAAGAACCATTCCAGACTGCGGTCGGCGGCATACTGTTGCCACTCAGAGCCATCGCGAGCGTCGGCCACGGCCGAGTCTAAGTTGTCTTTACTGATCGTCAGGACTTGGCGGTCATCGTGGGATAGGGAAGAGGGGTCCCTGACGGCGCCGAGTTGCCTGCGGACCGCGCTCGTGTCATAGACCTCTCGCTCTACATCCCAGTCGTAGGTCGGTTCTGTCCTGTTGCTTGAGCTGGTTGCGGAAACGTTGAGATACTGAATCGAGTCCGGGTAGCTATTAGGAAGAACACGTTTTTAGATACTGCAGCACAGGAGAATCTGTTGGAACAGTTCAAGCTCTAAAAAATTCGGGTACTCACTTGTAGAACTGTGCACACATTGTCATGTTGAAGTTGATATACTGGTCTTTGCCAACGGTGTTAGAATCAACAAGTCTGATATGCAGAGACTCCCTCGTCCACGGGCCGGAGCCAGTCGAACTTAGCACCTTGACAGTCGACTCCATGCTATCAGAGCTCATATTTCCTTGGATTCTTCCCGCATCCCACACAATCCTCATCGTCGTCATCCTCGTGGTATTCCGAAGTGACCAGTCAAAGGACGTCCAGTTCAGCGTCTCATACGCGCAAATCTGCCAGTCGTATCGATTGCCCATGTACCCCGTCACAGGACAACTAAAATTGAAGTTCATCTCATCCGTCCACGTCAGCCCCGCCGCAGCCGCCGCGTCCACGGTGGGATCGAGCCGTATCGATCCGCAAATGTCGACGCCGTCTGTGCCGTTGCACGGGCGAACGTTGCTGAGCTGCGGCCTCATGCAGATGAACCGCGTGTCTAGGACTCTGGCCATGCCTTGGAACTCGAGGAGCGACTCGCGCTCCTGCTGCGATGCTACAGGGAGGAAGGCCCTGACTGTTGGTCCGGTATCGTCTAGTCCTTCTCCTTCTGCTGCCGTACCCGTGTACTCTGCGAACGTTTCCGTAAGTCGCGGTCGTTGGATCCAGTAGTTGTGCGCATACCCGGAGACAGCTTCAGGCGGCTTGCCGCTCGAGTGGTTCCCCGGGATAAAGGTATACGCATTGGATATCGAATCAGCAAAAGCGACAACCCGGCGCTGCTCGAGGTCTGCTACAAGGAGAGTGGATGTAAATTGCGCAGCAATCGTCGTGATAGCCAAGAGCGCCAGAACCAGGCGGACTAGTGGCTGCAGCGATGAGCTCGTGAGCGCGAGAAGACTGAGCGAGAGGGGTCCATCGCTGGAGAAGCGCGCGACCGATACTTGGGCGATGTCTTGGAGGTATACGCCCCTCCGCTCGACCGCGGCCGACGCAATCATGGCCGTGGCCGCGGTGGCCAGTATGCCTATCGCAGTTCGGATGACGACGGCGGATAGAGTTATGCTCAGTTGGAGCCGGTTCGGGGCGAGGACCCATTTCCGCCAGCGGACGTCTTGGTGGGGTGCCCACCATAGCCATGAGATAAAGGCGACGGCACCCGCGAGGAAGAGCAACGAGATGACGAGACTGAATTTTAGAAAGAGACTTAGGCGTTTGGTGGGCCGCTTGAACGTCTTCTTCGGCTTGAGGCTTGCGACGCCGTGGTCTGGTACAACAGGGCGAATTTGACTGGGCTGTTGGCTCTTGTTGGAGTTGAGTGGTGAGTGGTCTGCCGTGTCGCGATCCAGTGGCTGATACATCGTCGGCTCTGAAATACAGATCGCAAGTCGGTATGCGAAATTACGCTCAGTCTCATCGCCAACAATTCCTTTCACACCGAATCTTCACTTCGATGTCGTGATTTAAGATTACTCTTGCCGCCACACAAACGAAATATGTTCTGCAGGATCAGATTCACTATGGCTCCGTCATCCAGCCCTGTGGAGATCTCCAGTGAGGGACTCAGAGTGAGGCTGCGTGCTTATTTATATCCACTGAGCAACGCAGCCGAGCCCCAACGTACGACCACTAGGCAGTGATTTCTTGCAGGGTTAATGGGGGAAGACCATGATTGACGTGTAAACGCAGGGGAGTTGCCACCATTCAGAGGCTCTGAAATTTCGAAATTGCGGCCCTCCGACTTTCTCATGCACCCAGGACCTGGCATGCATGCGCGACATCACCATGGCGAACATTTCTTGACGCTTAGAACTGCCCGAGAAACTGTGCAGTACACATCAATCCAGCGTGATATTGGATTCGACCATACGTCTCACTTCGGCCATTAGAAATCCCGGAAGTTGGTAGAGAGTTGCACAGGTAAATGAAGCTTATTGCCACTCTTCTCCAACATGTGTGGGTATGCCTACAACCTCTGGCCGGAGGTTAGCAACAGAATTCTCACAATGATTGGAAATAGAGCCCAAGGTTTCCTCTTCAGAACATGGGTTCTCTACCTCGAATTCAATCTCAAAAGATACACAAAACCAAAAGCCCCTAAGATAAACTGGAACTCCCTAAGCCGCAAATCTTTCGATCCACTCAGCGTTCGCAGCTCACCAGTCTCACAATTCGTGCACGGAACATGACCGTAACTTTCCAGCACGTCTTCCGCTAAGCCAAGCCGCCTAAAATGATGGGATCTTCAGTGATTCCTATTATACGAACCCCATAGATTCCAACCAGCAAAACTTTACCTGGAGTGGAAGCACCTTTTAACATATAGAAACTAGCAATTTGCATCGTTTGTATGATACTCTGTTCAATCGGATCATAATCGGGCATTTCTGGCTGAATAGACTACTTTGGTAGGAAGGTTACGGTGAGTGAGTTAATGCTGAGTGCACGCCTTGCTAATCGGAGAGTCCTCTGATAGCGCGGCCTACAAAGATACAGCGTGGACACTAACATCCCGATAACACCCACGCGAGCCGAGCGAAGGGAGAATGTCTTGCTTTCAGACCGCTCATCCAACTCACCACCCGGAGCTCACCAAAAAACAAGGGCGAGACACCTCAGGAAATACAGTTGAACCTCTTCTGCTGTTGCTGGGCTGTCAACATGGCAACGGCAAAAATCACGTTGCCAGAAGACCTGGGTTCGAAGTCTCTACTTATGTTTGACGACTTGGTTTCCAAAGGGAAGCTATTCTACAGCGAATCTAAAAGCGACATTGTCTCCCACAACGGCTTCGAGGTGCGAGAAAGCCTTAATCTCTTTCCAAAGGCAATCGGTATCCGAAGAAATTTCTGACCAGACCTCACCAGTTCGAGTTCCGCATTAGTCCAGCTTTGAAAAGAAAGCCGTATCTGGAGCGAGATGATCCCAAGCGTACGGCAGACAAGGGGCCGTTTCTGACCCCAGATCCCGACTTCGTTGTTGCGCAAGTAGGGTCTCATCATGCACTGAAGCTTAATCTGTGCTGTATGTATCGGCCGGCATTCGTACTATATACCCGACTTTTTGAGCCTCAGACGCAAGACCTCAACTTCGTTGACGTTGAGGCTGCACGTGCCGTGATGATTGCACTCAAGCCAACTCTGGGGCCCCAACTGATGATCTATAATTGCGGCGTCGACGCCGGATCATCTCAGGGTCATAAGCATGTGCAGATTTTTCCTCAGCCGACTCACTTCTCACTGTATCCTCAGAAGGCGACGTCTGAAAATGGTAAGAGACTTGAATCTCAGGTAGAAGCGGCCGCTAAAAAAGTTCCTAACGCAGAAATCAATTCGACCATTGCTGGGGTTCCCAACCTACATTTCGTATTGCGATTACCCCAGGCAGCGACCCATGAGCAGGCCTGCCACAGTCTTGAAAGACTAGTATCCGCAGCAAGAGAAATTGCAACAAATTATGGGGAACGAAGTGACTATAACGTTATCATGGCTGAGGACTGGATATGTGTGGTGCCGCGGCGACTTGTTGGGAAGGACGGAGTGGGAGCGAATGGTGCTGGCATGGTAGGTCTGGTGTGGCTCCGAGACCAGACAGAGAGGGACGGTTGGGACTCTTTTGGTTTAACAGATCATCTTGTTCAACTTGGTGTATCAAGAACCTGTGTACCAAGAAGATTTAATAGCAGTGCGAGAATACCAAAATAGGACAAGGGCTACCCCAAAAGGCGTACGGCTGGTCGCAAGGCAGGAATTGTCGTCAGCCAGTTTGGCGAAGCTACCTTGACTCAGTGGTTCATCTTCGGATTGGCAATGATTCTTCCGAGTATCTTGAAAGCGGGAGTCTCTCTAGGCTGTTGTGCAAATGAAGCTAGGGGGGCATCCTCGCGTCACCCTGTTTGGGACTTTTGATGTATCCTGTCGGATGCTGGATTGCATCAGAAAACGTCCGTGCCTTTTCCAATTTTCTCATCCAATTCATGTACCCTGAATCATGAATATGGCTGTTGAGAAACATCCACTCTTCAGTGTCTTCGTCATGACTTAATGGCTGTGGACGTCTCTTAGAGAAACCTCGCTGCTGCTGTTCATACTCAGAGACTGCTAGCCAAGTTAGTTTGGGCCTATGTCGACAGACTAGTCCCAAGCGCCGACAATGATCGCACATTGGACGTTGTTCTATAGATTCATTCAAAATTTCACTTCCAGTGTAGCTCTAGGTAGAAACATGGGGACGGACCGGGACATTTTACACGACGTCCTATGATGCATTCACTTTTAGCTGGCTGGTCATTTCTGACTATAGGTACTAGTAATTTTACATACCTCTGCATGTACGGCATCCGCTTCTGGCCCGATAGTCCCCGCTTCTCCGCCGACGCGGCGGGCCATTGGAGTCGGCCATGGTCTGAATATTTCTTCTACTACGACACGACAAAAAGGGACTTTAGTATTCTCTAAATGGGATGAGAAAGTGGTGACTCCCTCAACGGGGCTGCAGCATGTTGACGGCATGTTCAGTATTGAGCTGCAGATAAGGCCTCGAAACCCTAGATGAGAGACCATAACAAATAGGGGCGGAACTCGTGAGCCTCAGCGGAGGAAGCCTGACTCAGTCTCTTTACCCCGCAGATACATACACCATATGTGGGTGAAGATAGGCGACGATAGGCATAGAAGAGAATTTGGTTCGGCTTCGGTGTGAGCGCGCCGACAATGTGGCATCGGACTGGGGTCGCCGTTTCCACTTCCCCGCCGTGGGCTTCTTATCTCGGACACCTTTGCCGTGGGGGGCCTGACTCCGAGCAGGGAGAGCGGCCCTCGATCCGACGTCGGAGCTGAATACGACTTGGCTCCCAGAACTCAAAATCGACATCATTTCGCCATAGTCCTCTGACTGTGAACTTTTGTTCGCAATAAACCGAAAAGGGTAAAAGCCAAGATGCCTGACCTGCAAGACTCAATATTGATCGTTGGCGCTGGCACCTTTGGCCTGTCAGCAGCGTATCACTTCACCCGTGCCGGGTACAAGTCCATCACGATTCTCGAGAAAGGAACATCCGTTCCCTCGTCTCTCTCGGCGGGCAACGACGTCAACAAAATTGTCCGCGCAGAATATGAAGACCCCTTCTATACTGAGCTGGCCTTGCAGGCCATGTCGGAATGGGCCGACAACGAACTATTCGCGCCGCACTACCACCAGACGGGGTACCTCTTAGCCAACTCAGCAGCAGCGCCGGAAAAGACGAAAAAGACCCTAGCTAAATCTCTTGAGAGTATTCGAGTGCATCCAGCTTGGGCTGGTAGGATCAACCCGATCAAGAACAGAGAAGATATCGCCAAAGCTGCGCCGGCACTGGACGGGCCCATGGAAGGATGGGAAGGGTATTTTAATCAGTTCGCGGGTTATGCGCATGCCGCGAATGCGCTCAAGGCAGTCTATAAATACGTCAAAGCCCAGGGAGTCGAAATCCACACTGGGGAGAATGTTGCGAGCCTCACGTATGACGGGGACAAATGCATAGGCGCCCGCACGACTTCCGGCAAAGACTTCAAGGCAGCGACAACGATTCTTACGGTCGGGGCTTCGCTCGGAGACGTGCTCCCGTCCGTCGGCCGTCAAGTCACGGCAAAGGCATGGAGTGTCTTGCACATACAACTCCAGCCGGAGGAAGCAGCGCGCTTGAAGGGAATACCGGTCACATACGCTCGGGACTTGGGTTTCTTCTTTGAGCCAGAACCCGGCACGGGCATCCTCAAGCTCTCCCCAAGTGGTGGAGGCTACACCAATTACTCGACGACGACAGGCCTGTCCACGCCTCCCGAGAAGAACGACTTCGTGCCCGAGGCTGACGTGCGTCGAATTCGAAAGCTGCTCCAGGAGACCCTTCCGGGCCTGGCTGATAGGCCTTTTGTCAACCAGCACATCTGCTGGTGTGCCGATACGGCGGACTCGGATTATGTCATCGATGCTGTGCCTGGGAAGAAAGGCCTGTATCTGGCGACAGGCGACTCGGGCCACGGCTTCAAGATGCTTCCGGTGGTTGGACAATGGATCAAGGACTTGGTAGAGAAAGGAAAGCAAGATATCGTTCGGTGGAAGTGGAAGGAAGGCAGTGATGCTGGTCAGAATGTGAGCTGGCGTGCGGGTGAGGTAGTGGACCTGAAGGATATACAGTAGCCTTCGATTGAAGAAACAAATACTTATTTCAATCTGTGATGAGAATTCTTTATTCAAAGTCTCAATGATTTTCATTTATCAGTGTTCTTCACGGATCTAGATCATCCCTTCAGAGCGGTCTCAATCCGTGTTAGACCCATCTGAAGACGCAAAGATGTTGACGTCAGCGCTACATAATCGACATGACCGCCACATTTTCCGAACGTCAGACTACGAATAACACGTGGTTATGATCATAGAAGAAACGAGTGAGAGAGCCCAGGCTGTCTTTGTCGGCGAGTTGAGCGCGTCATGACCATGGGGTATGTCCTGAGAGTAAGCTTTTATCAGATGTTTATAAGTGAATGTGCCCAGGCGATGAGTTCTCTCTAGCCCATACAAGGAGTGTCACGTAACAGGGATAGTAACCGCATCTCACAAAGTGCCCGTCACGTACTAAATTATGTATCTATCTTAAATATCGTATATATAGACCTTTTTTTTTTATTTATTTCTATTTTAATATATTAAGCTATTTTTATTATACTCCGTATACTTATTACTACGTACTATAACTCGTAATAATTATAAACCTAACTCTTAATTAAGACTTTATATTATAATAACGTACTTATTAATACGATTTTTATAATTTTTTTAATATAATTAACGTACTTATATTTATTTTAACCTAAGCTAAATTAATTAATTACGATAGTTAAATTAAATAGTTTAACGTACTTTATATTATAAATAAGGGCGTTAGGGTTTAAAAATACGTCGACTTAAATACTCTAAATTTTAATATACTCTTTAACTTATTTATAATACTTATTTTATTTTTTAAATTTAGATAATTAGTTATAATTTATAATAAAAAAGAATTATAAACTTATTAAGTATATTATAAAGCGTTTAAAAACGACTAAAGAAACTAAAAAATCCTTTATTAGTAGTTTTTAAATATAACTCCTAGTATAACCCCTTTAACTTTTTTAAGTATAAATAACTTATAAAACTAAGCTAGGTTTCTTTTTATAAAGCTAGCTATATTATTTACTTTATATAAATAAATCTATTTTTATATTATACCTATAAAAAAGATTTATATACTTAAAAATATTTAAAAATAATAAAAAATCGACGCTAAATATAAATAATTTAAGGCTTAAGAACGTAATATTACTAATATATATATTAAACTTTTTACTTAGTAATTAGTAAAATTAATTAACGTTATTTTTTATAAATACGTATTTTAAAAAGCTATTAAGGACGGTTTTAAGTTTAGTATATAACGAATTATTAAATAATTAAAATAAGAACTTTAGCTTTTTAAAATAGTAATTAAGAATATAGTTCGAGAGGAATACTAATAAGCTTTTAATAAAACGAGGACCGGAATTAACTTTTAATATTAGTATAAAAAGTAATAATTTATTTATTTTTAAATTAAAACGTATAATATTTTAAAAATTAATAAAAAGATCGCTATATTTAACTTTTTAATTATAATTAAGTTTAAACTTAATTTTATATAGGGCTAACGTATATATAAGACTTTAAATAAATTAATAGCCTTTAGAACGTATACTAAGACCCTCGAGGAAATTACGTATATATTTAGCTTAGTAACTTAGGACGTATATACTAAATAGTTTTTAAATTAAAAAAGGGCTTATTTTATTTTTATTAAACGCTCTAACTTAGTTAATAATATAAATAATAAAAATAACATTATATACTTTTATAATTATATATATTTATAATAATTTTTAGTATATTAAAAATTAAAATAAGTATTTATAAGCCGAAATATTAATAAGTTATTAATATAAATATTAAAGAGCTATATAAAAGAAGTCCTTATTATTATTAAATTAAGTAAATAGAAATTATTTTATAATAAGCTTAAGAAAGCTAATTAGCTAAAAAACAATAGAACCCCTAAAAAACCTAGGTTTTTAAAAAGATCTTCTAACTAACTTATAGCGAGCTTATTAATAAACTAAGACGAGGGCTACGTAGTTACTATACTTATAAAGAGTTAGGACTTAAAAATAAACGTAATTTTTAATACCCTTATAAGTAGTACTTATCCTCTTTTTTAAAATATAATAATAAATAGCTATAAAATAATATATTTAGTTAATAATAAGAGCTTATTTAAACTTAAAAATTATATATTATTAAGTAATAAAGATTATATTAAATTAAGAATTATTATATTACTTATTATTATACGTAGTATTCGTATTATAAAAAACGTTTTAAATAGACTTAAAAAAAAGAGAACTTATAATTTAAAGCTCTAAAACGTTACTTATATTAAGGGATTTTATATTAATATAGTTTTAGAGACTTTACTAAATAGAAATATACTCTAATACTATAATCTAGATTATATTTTATAATAAAAAACGCTTTATAAGAGTACTATTAAAAAGTAGCTTATTTAAAAAAATAATCTAGTTTTTTTCAAATATAAGCTCTTTTAATCCTATTTTTTTTTTATAAACCTTAAGTATATTTTATAAAGCCTAGTTAG